GATTGCTTATGTTGATCAAGAAGGCGTGACAAAATGTTCACTTTGGATGAACTAATTGCGGAAATTATTTGAACTTCATCTATTTCCTTAAAATTCCATCGATTCAATGAAATATCTCTTTCTTTAAAAGCTCCCAAACGAGATTAAGAATTGTGTAAAATGAATAGATGCAGTGTTTGTAACCAAAAAAGCATTAAAAAGACAAAAGAAATACACCACAGTTTATATGTAACAGCCATCGCACCGTTAAAGACAAACATGACTTATTAATTAAGACCTCTGAAGATTTGATTCGGATTTATTCTATTGCTGACAAAGTCATAAAGAAATAGATCTTTTTTGAAATAATTTTTCTAGTTAATCTATCCTGCAATTGGGAATAAAACTACATCAAAATCGCCATTGATATATATCAACAAATTGTAAGCTGTAAACGGTTGAATGGAGAGGAAATGAAAATATTAGGAAGAAATAATATGAATACATGAACTATTTTTTCCACTGGGTTTATTTTTTATAGCACACTTTATTGTTTTAAAGAATAAAGGAATAGTTTTGAACTGTTAATGATTTTTTTTCCAAATCTGACAAATATGCAGATTAATTTTGTCTTGTCTTTGTCTAGTTATGAAATTTGGTTTAAAGAAAAACTGGTGAAAATTTAAAAAAATGTGAACCTTTAAATAGGGCCCTTCTACATAATTCTGTGCCTGGGTGCGCTAAAATTTCCGTTATTATAATTATAAAAAGGCTATAGTATTGAATCTGTAATTATTTAATTAGAATACCTTACTAACTTAAATTTTTATTTATAATTGAGGGGAATTATTTGCAGAGAATTTAATGTATTTGTTTAGAATTAGCATGAATTTCAAATAAGGAACGACTAAATTAGTAATATTGCAGCATTCTCTGGCCCATTGTTTCCCTGATTTCCCACGACAAATGGGTTATTTAAGACAATCTTAACTCTGTTCCAACTAAGGATAGTTCAGGTGTTCAGCTATTTCCTCTGTACCTTACTGGAGTCTCCTCCAATAGCGTAGAGGCTAAAGTTTTCGTTTTCAAACTCGGTCATTAGGAGGTTCGATGTCTACAATAGCACAATTGCTGAGTCAAATGGCCATCGGCATTAATGTTCAAGCCGTTCAATGGGAGCGACGTCGATCATTCATCCTTCTTTTAATATCACGGTGGCAATATATATATATATATATATATATATATATATATATATAACGGAATTATATATATATATATATATATATATATATATATATAGTTAAGCTTCCACCTCTAAACTTTATAAGTGAGATATATTTATGTAACTTAAGAGAATTATGGCTATTAAGGTTCACGGAGATTTTGATCAAAGATGAAAGAAGTCAAGTAATATTTGAGTAATTTCACCGCATCAAAAGGAGCAAACTTTGAATAAACTGTCAAGAACTCCAGCATAAAAATTTCAAGTCCATAGTGATTGCATTGCATCGGGATAAGCAACTGTACTTAACTCAGTCAGAATGCATGCTTTTTTGACATTTCTGAGAGCTGGAAGATTAGGGTTGGGGACAAAATATATTTTATCAGTCCGGCTTCTTTATGCCCGTCAAGCATTAATGATGTGAAGACGACCTACACTTTTTTCGGCGGTCTTTATTGAAGTAATTAAGGCTTAAGGAGTAATTGCGCGTCTTCTCCAGTCTCAATCAACTATTCTCTTGTGGAATCTGCGTAAATTGGGGGGTAAGTTTAGAAGAGTCTAACTTGAAAACTGGTTCGTGGTCAGAGTTACCGACTGTAAATACAATAAAAAATTTTTTATTCGAAATAAATATAGTATAACTAATTATAAATATCCTTAACGTATTTGCTTAAAGTTCGGAAGTGTGGAATTTATTTGGGAATTATATAAGTTTGATTAAGTGAATTTTTTAAATAAAATTTATGTCATTCTACATTTTTGACACCAACATCCCGAATGTTATGGAACTGGCTAAAACTGAGTTAATTTATAGGTGATAGAAAATGATTATTGACAAGTGGCTTTTCGATCAACGTGGGAGCCAGTCTATCAGGTCTAACCGACTATCCATGCCCAAAGTGTGAGGAATAGTTTGAAGTGGTGGCTGGTGCATTTCAATCAAAACTAGGTGATGATGTGGTCGTGAAAGATGTTTCAAACACTATACTTCTCCAATTCTCAATAGATTCGTGAAGAGACTAGACAACTTTGCTTGCCCACACATCAACCTGAGCATCACTCTGAGCAATAACGTTTCCAATTATGACATTGAATATGATGATTAAATATGGGGTGTGCGATAGACTTACCTCCACGTGGTGCACCCTGGGCAACGTGTACTCATACGGCAAAAAAGCCAATTAACTGGCAGTTGACCTCTGACTTCAAACTACCATGACCCCACTCTATGTCATATTCGACCTCTTCTACAGTACTCATCTAGCCTTTTCTCTGCCATTGTGTCTGTCTGTCTTTTACATCTGTGAATCGCTCTTTTCCTCTGTCGAATTTTTCTTACTTTAATGGTCCTCCCTTCTGTGAAGCCCGAAGTCAACTAAAGGGCTAATGATAACTGTCAAAATGCCTGTCATCTGATATAAATAAATAAATATAAAGCTAAGTAATTTGCAACCTTTAATGAGATAGTTATACTTTGTTGTGCTTAAGATAATATAGAAGGCCTTCTATCCACTCCTAAATTACCTTAGTAGAACTAGTCAAGATAAATTGCTAAGAATAAATTAGATTAAATCGCTCCAATTTCTTTCTCATCAAACCGACATAGCCCTAATGAATTAGCAGCCTTGCATTCTCATTTATGTTGGGAGATTTACAGCTTCCTGATTATGAATAGCGCATTAATTATTTAAAAATATCGACTTATAAAGTTGATTTGGAAGAGGTGGTATGACAGGCAAACAGCATATTTGATGGATTATGTTAAGCTTGTTACCTATTTAGGCAATCAAACAGATAAAAAATGCTTTTGTTTTTACATTCTAAACTCCTTTTGATTAAATAAAAAATTTAATTGCAGGAGATAGGAAATAACTCATTTGATCCAAGTGGCTTGAATTTTCAAGCGTAATCCCAAAGTGAATTAGGGTAGTTGTCCCAATTTAATCCGTTCACCCCATCTCCTTTATAATCCATCTACTAACTCGGTTTTACCCAGAAGAGCTTTTTCCTTTATATTAACGCCGACTGCTTACACGACTAGTTATCTCAATTTGCAATCAGGCGTAAAATTCGACTTGAGACGTTTTTGTCGATGCGAGAGGGAAATTGAGATTCGAAATCTCCTGGGACTAACCAAGCTACACTACTCATTTTAAACGGTTCAGTTGTTACCTTTTTATAAATCGGACTTTCCTTCTTCCTTTATATGAGATTTAATATTGAATTTCATTTGCATTGCTGAGGTAAATTGCGTCTCTTAAATTTAGCGCTCCAAGTTTTCCCAAATTAAACTGAGTATCAGGTCTTCTGTGTAGGCTTTAAGTTTTTAACTCGTTGCTAGTTTATGAATATAATCGATTTATTGATTCATAATGTCAACAGCCTGACCAACGCTTAGAAATGGGACACTTATTACGATTGGGTGTTTACTAAGGGAATTAGAAAGCCTCAATTGATGTTACTCATCATTGTTCATCCTAATCAACAAAAACTTCTTTCTAATCTGTAATCTTTTTGAGTTCCTCTATGAAATTAAAAAGGTAGCCAGTAGATCTAAGACTTCCAACGAAAGCAGTTGCCTCATTTTATATCGCTGTCAAGCTGAGGAGCTTTTCGAATATGATCTAGCCAATAATGCATGGAACTATCTACAATTCTGAATATATTACCATTTGAATTTGTATATGTTCCTTGATTTATACGAAATTTTCCAATTAAAGTTTCTATCAAGTCTAAATCGCTGTACGACAGTACTTAGGTTTCAATACTTGTGAGATCCGAAATGAGGAAATTTGTGTATTCATTTGAAAACGTCGCATCCTCCTTGTCAGAATTAACTAATTATCAATAGTTTTGCTTTTAGTATTTTGCTTTCAATTGAAACTCAAAACTTATGGCGCCTTAAGAGTAAAGCATAGGTAGATCAGTCTGCTCAGATTCATTCATTAATTATCGCCTTTTATTCACTTTACAGTTCAGACTTGTAAATTATTTAATCAGTATTCGAAATCAGGAGAAGTCAAAGTACGTCTCTCCGAAGTTAAATTTTCTAATATCGTCATATGTGAGGACACAATGCAATAATTAGCCAGTGAAACGCGATTGTCGATTCTGGCTAAGAATAGGATTGTTCTTTCACTAGTACGCCTAGGAATGCTTTAATTCTGCACAATTTTAATAGATATAGCAAATAGCATAAGCTTTTTAGTTATTAAAACTCATTATCAGACATTTTAATTAACCTATGCAAATCAATGAACCAATGGGCTACTCTAAAGGAACGTAAAAATTTCAAAAGAAGTTTTTGATTTATTTAAAAAATTGCTAAAATGATATTATTATGGTATATGGGAAATATAAAAAAAGGTAAAATGAAAAATAATTAGCCATATATGTAGTTAAAACATATTTGAGCCCCATTTTAAATAGCAACTGCGATAAATATTGACCATATCAATGAATCGATATTGAAGAATGAGCCTTTAAAACTCTTAAAATCCATGTCAACAGAAAAATTACAATTTTTTAACACTTTCTTCCCATAAAATTTGTCGTCATCAGGTATTTTGCAACACACACTTGCCTTACTGTCTTTTGATTGGTCACTCAGGGACCAATCAGCTGCGGGTGGACAGAAATGATTCTTGTTAATATTCCATTGGGCTCAGTAAAGCAAATTTCTGCCAATGAAAGTGCAAAAAATGCTTGGCTAAACTAACACCCATATAAAAAGATGATATCGATAAAAATGGCTAATTCAAGGACAGCATGTCAATGAGGATTTAGACGATTTTATATGACAATACAAATGACCCGAATATTTTTACAGATTTTACTGGCTATCTTCCCTATTCTTGTCTCAACTTCAAAATCTCCCAGAGATATTCTTTCAGTTGATATGTTTGAGGAACAACCAGTTGGTTCCCATGTTACTGACATTGCTCAGGAATTAGGACTTTCCGTTGACAAGAATATCAATTCTGCTTCTGCCTACATAGCTTCAAATTTTACGATTGTGGTTGCGAACTTGGCAATCAACGAACACTTTGGAATATCCCCTACAAATGGAAGGATAACTCTCAAGAAACATCTTGATCGCGATACACTGTGCCAGAATGAGCGACTATGTTGCATTTCTGAAGATGATAGTGGTTCAGCACCAATTCAACTTCCTGATGGCAGTTACTTTAGACGTACAGCGAAGTTATGCAAACTCGCTTTTCGAGTTGTTTATCGGTTGAGTGAAAATGTGAGTGCTCCACATGAGGGTCGGATGGCTTTCTGTTCCACTGAAGTAACCGTTCTTGATCTCAATGACTGTGCACCAAGATTTCTCTTAAAGGATTACTTTCCTGCCTATGGGGGACACTACCGACCAATGCCAAAATCAATTTCCATCACTATTCCAGAAGATACGGACACTGATACCTGTTTTGACCTCCCTATGGCTTTTGACGAAGATTCTGGCCGATATGGAATTCAAGAATATCGGATAGAAGCTACTGAGAAAGGAGCTTCCACAATTGAAGGAAATATTCATGACATTTTTGCTATTAGACTTGGTAACTGCGACGGCAGTAGGAATGCGATATATGATACGGGAGGAGAACTGGATATCGCGAATATGAAACCTAAGTTACAGTTACGGCAAAGGCTTGATAGAGAAACTGTGGCTGAATATCATTTCACTTTGGTTGTTGCAGATGGAATGGATTCTAGCAGCCCTGCATCTCTATACAATAAACACACCAGCCTTCTTCCACACTCTGCAAGTTTAGCTATAAAGGTTCTTGTAGGTGATGTCAACGACCACGCTCCTGAAGTTGATCACACAGTAGAAATAAAACTGAAAGAAGATACTCCTATTGGCACTCGCGTTACTCAGATCGTAGCCAATGATAAGGATATAGGTGACAATGGCAAAATTCGCTATGAAATCCGATCTATTGGTCCATTAAAAGCGTCTCGATTTCCTTTTGCAATTGATTCAACCACTGGAATAATATCGATTGTTAATCCACTGGATGCAGACAGCCTTCCTCCAGAGTCCCATGGAGTTATGGAATTTCTAGTGATATCTTCTGATAACGGGCAGGATATTTCTTTCTCAAGCACCACTACTGTGAGTGCTCATGTTGAAGATATTAATGATGAAGCGCCGGTGATAAAAACAGTCGATTTGGCAAGCAGAAGTAATCCACCAAGGCCTTCGGTTCGAGAAAACCTTCCATCTGGAACATTAGTTGCCTTTGTCACTGTCACAGACGCTGATTCTGGAGGTAATGGTTTAGTCACTTGCAAGGTTGACAACAATAAGTTTGATCTCGAGTCAATCGGAGATAAAAGTGCAAAAATCAAGGAGCTTCAGCTGGTTACAAAAGTTGTATTAGATCGCGAAGACTCTCCAATGCATAGAGTGACAATAATCTGTGTGGATCATGCACATCCCGTAACATTTGCCAAGACGGGCATTCAGAGGGTTCTTGTCACAGTGACAGATGAAAACGACAACGATCCAATGTTTCATAGCGATTTGATTGAAATCACAGTTCCTGAAAATAATCCACCTGGAGAACTTCTTTACCGCCTAAATGCTACCGATGCAGATGAACAAGTTTCTTGGAATACCGGTCTTCGAAACCCACTTATCTATGAAATTGATCAAACCGGTCAGATGTACCTTAATCTGGATCATTCCTCAGGAAACCTCTATACGAAAGAATCATTCGACCGAGAGAAACAGGAGTTCATTGAATTTGGTGTTATCGTCAAAGATCATGGTATTCCTCAACGAAGTGCCAGCGCTAAGGTCATAGTTCGAATTCTCGATAGAAATGATCATGCACCAGAGTTTGAACAGAACGAGTACAATATTAGTGTACCTGAGAATACTGTCGTTGGTGAAGTGATTTTGAACGTGAATGCTCATGATAAAGATCAGGGTCAAAGTGCGGAATTTACTTATCATATGGATGACCTCAGGGTAAGCAAAGAGTTTTCAAATTTGTAGTTAAATTAACTTTACTCGCATTATTTATCTTTCTCCCAATTTCGTTTTAATGCGAATTTGAGTTAATTGAATTATGTCTAATAATAAAATTGTTGATTAAATTAACACCGTTGGACATTACACTGGAAAAAATTAAAGAAATATTTTACTAGAAAATTCATTCAACCCGAGCAAATATCTGCCTGAGCAGTTAATTGAAACTGGCAAAGGAATTTCGATTGCAACGATTTTCAATGAAATTATCTCGAGACACGGTCAAATTCATTCGATCGTATACGGACATTTTAATAAAAACATCCCAATTTATTATTCCAAGGAATATTCAAATCTTTTTATCCTAGTATTGTCCATCTTCGAAGCTATAAATTTATGGGCTTAGAGATACTTATTTGTATTCTTCATCATAAATCAGTAGAGCTGGTTGCAAATAATGTTAATGAGAGCGCCCAAACAGGGGTTAATTTGGAATTTATAAAAAATGAAAAACTCGTAATTGATGGGCGTATGAGAAAAAATGGAGAAAGACTACCTAAATTAATGAATTTTTAAATAAAACAGCTCGTGCCTTTTATAAAACTCGATTATTAACTATTTTTTATATTGTAAGAAAAATTTCAAAATTATGAAGCTCTGAAAATCTGAAAACAGCCTCAGTAGTTAAAATCCCAATAAAAAGTTTGGGGATATATTTCCATTTATTAGTAGTAAAAATTCTTCAATTTGTTTAAATTTAACCAATTATGTTTGGACACCGATTTATAAATCCCCTCTTAATCACTCTAATCTCCATGAAATTTAGTTGAGACACTCTCCTCTAATTTGCATATGAAAACTTCTTCTGTGGAGGTAATTAAGACCTCACAGTGGTTAATTTAAAACCTAGTTTAGTTTTCTCTCTATCTCTCTCCCCCTCTCATTCTTCATACACATATTTACCTACCGTTACTTGTCAAAGAGAGAACGAAATATGAAACGAATTATGTTAGGTTTGGTTGGGGGGGG